CCCACCTCCCCACCCCCCTACCCCTCCAGCGCGCCGCGCAGGGCTCCCGGGCACGCAGCTCCAACTTTTCCCCAACTTATGGGTGCCAGCGCCCGCGCCGGCACCACAGCCCCAACAAAGCGGCGACAGGGCCGGGGCTCCCCTCCCCTTAGGCGGCTGCCGAGCTGGCGCCCCGATCCTTCACTCTGCCCGCCCGATCCCGGCGCGCCCCCTCCCAAGGTGCTGGGCTGGGCGGCTCGCCCGGGGCGCCTCTCTCGCAGCTCCGGGGCGGCGGGGCTCACCCACCTCAGGCTGCGGCTGCAGGACGCATTCCCGGGTGCTCCCGGGGGCCGGCCCCCCGCTGATGGCAAAGTCCGGGCGCGGGACTCTCGGGCGGCTCCAGAGAGCGGGGCATGCTGGGAAGGAGCTGGGCTGTCCAAAGGAATCAAGATAAGTCCCCCGGCGCGGCCAAACCCCTGGCGGTGGAGCGGGAGGGGGAGGCGTCCGCCGAGCATCCAAATCCCCAGCTGCCAGGCGCCGCCGTCACCGCCAGGCCCCCAGACGAGCCGGGGGTTGGGGCGGCGGGAGGTCTAGGCAGCTGGGAGGCAATCACTCCGAGACCCAACAGGCGGTCCTCGCGCCCCCGCGGAGGCCAGGCCCAGGCTGGCAGAATGGAGGGAGGTGCGAAGGGTCCCTGCCATTCCCCAGCCCCCACCGAGGCTGGCCATCCAGTGGGGGATGGGGAGCATGAGCCGTTTCCACAGTGTAGCTCGTCATTGAGAGACTCGGCTACACACTGCATGGTTTAAATCCTGGCTCTGCCCGTCTCTAGCTGCGAGCAACTTACTTCACGTCTCTGTGCCTTGGTTTCTTAATCTGTAAAATGAGGCTACTACTTGGAAGCATCCTCAGAGTTAATAAAAGGGTCAAAGGACATGCAGCAGGCGGTGCATTTAAGAGTGCCTGGCCCAGGGTGAATGCGAATCAGTAATAGCTCTTATTATTGTCTTAACCCTGCTGGGCAGACAGGCCCACCCCAAACAACTGCCCTGCCAGGGACAAGAGTAGAAATGCAGGACCCTGGCTGACAGTCCTACCCTCTCCTTTCACACTTGACTCTGTGCCATCCCTAAAGATGCCCACGCCAGACTGTGAAGGCTGCCTTGGAAGGACGGAGGTCCATGTGGGCCCTGGAAGTAGGCTGGGGCTTCTTGGGCAGAGATTTTGAGTCTAACATACCAGGAGTGTGGTCTAGAAGGAGGCGTGTGCTCTAGATGGTCATCCCTGCTGGCCCTCGAACTCCTAGCCCTGTGAGGAAGGGGCAGGGTCAGAGACGGGCCAAGGAAAGCCTGGGGCCCAGGGCAGGGGCCCAGTTGACCAGTCTCAGCTCAGTACTGGTGACAAATACAAAGGATGACTGGTTCCTGGGCAGCTTAGTGCAGGCCTGCAAACTGGTAGCCCCCTAGGCCACGTTCAGCCCACAGAGGTGTTTGGTGTTTTGCCTTACAGTTTTTAAAAAATCAAGTTAGTTGCCAACGTTTTAAAAAAATCAGGAATTTCACTTATACCTCTAGATTTCTAGCTTCTCTGGAAAATTCATAAGATCTCTAAAAATGCAGCCCACATTCCGTTGGTGGCAACAGTCAGTAGGAGAAGGGCGGCTGCTGCCTCCAGGCTTGTCCTGGCTCACCACCTTCCCCACTGCTTACAACATAGGCGCACAGGCACTCACACCTCGCTCTTTTTGCTGAATGCTCGTCCCTGTGGGCAGCTGTGGTTTCCCACCGTTGGCACTCAGGGAGAGGAGAAGGCTGAGCGATGATTTTATTACCCTCTAAAGTGCTTTCATGGAGAAACTACAATCTGTAAGGACAATGGGCCCACAGCAAAGCTGCACACATCAGAATGGGTCCCTGGGGACAATAAACGTCTCCGTTTCTTGGAGATGCTTGGAGAAGAACGGAGCACTAGGGTTTGCCTTGGGTGGTTTAAACACTTATGACTCTGTAGGAGAGATGTAAAAGAAAGGTTTAACCTTGGGAAGTTTACAACACAAGTAGAAAGGACTTACCAAAACAAACAAACAAACCCCCCCAAATAAATAAATAAATAAATAAACTCAGCTTCTGCCTGGGGCTGACTGGGTAAATGCCCCCAAGTAACCACCCATTACGCAGCTGCAGAGAGGACAGAGGTTGGGCCAGTGCCTCCCCTAGTCAGCTGTCTCCCGTAGTTCTGCAACTCTTGCTATCTCAGTGTCCCTGAAGTCTCTCTGGATTGATCTGAGAAGACCTTGTATGACACTCAGTGTTCTTATGTGCAAGCAATAGAAACTGATAGATTGTTCCACGGGGAAAGGCGACTTGCTGAAAGGGCATGAGGTGCCCACAGAATTATCCGGAGACTGAAGACCCAGATTAGGAAATGGACAGGCAGCACAGGGGCTCCAGGGACTGGGTGCCACTGCCCTGAAGTGACTGTGGCCCTCCTTTCAACTTTAGCTTTTATTCCAGGTTCAAAGTCCTGGGTAGGACCTCACCCTGTCTGCTTCCACAGGTGAGGCACAGGCATTAGCCAACATCTCTGTGTCAAGGGGTTTCCCTCCCCCCCACCAGCAAAGGTAGGAGGCAAGGTCGCTCGACTGCTCCCCTGAATTTAAACACCCCTACATATGGCCTCTCCCCAGTCAAGTCTGAACATCAAACTGTGTAGCAAAGGTCCCCAGCTCAAGGGCTGAACCCCATGATTAAAGAGGAGAAGCCGGCAGGTCAGAAATAATGCTGACTATGCTAATGAGGAAACAGGCTGGTTCCTGGCCAGCGGGTAAAGCCCATGCTCTGCCGAGGCAAGGAGTGAACATTTGTTGGGTACCTACTATGTACCAGACACTGATTAGGCATCTTACATGCCTTATCTCATTTGATCTTCTCACCAACCCTGAAACGTCAGCATGATGATGTTTGTCATGGAGAAAATACACTCAGAGTGGTAAGGCAACTTTCCCGAGCTCTTTCAGCCTGTAAGTTGGAGGGAAGGGAGTAGATTCAAGACTTCCCGGCACCAAAGCCCACACCACCCAAACCAGGAAACTGTAAGCTGCACTCCAATCCATGTCTCTGCGCAGCAGCCCCTTCCTTCCAGACAGAGCCAGTCATGTGCAACAAACCCCTCCTGCTCCAGCAAGAAAAGCGTCTCACACTGCCTATAACCCTTGATAAACCCTCCCGGCCCACCTCTGGGTGGTCAGAGGGGCAGCAGAGTGGCACATTTCACCCCCACCAGGTAGGCGGTTATGAGTAGGAGCTTGAGCCAGGGAAACTGCCATTAGAGGTCTGACTCCTGCACATAGTAGCTATGTGACCTCAGGTAGTTCACTTAGTCTGAGCTTCCCCATCTGTAGAATGGGCGTGGCAGGAAAAACTATGGCCTCCAGTTGTGTTGAGGATTAAAGGAGATGATACATTTAAAGTAGCATGGTGGTGGCTGGGGCTGGGGATGGGGGATGGGGGGTGGGGGAAGGGATGAGGAGCTATTGTTTAATAGGTACAGAGTTTCAGTTTGGGAAGATGAAAACAGTGCTGGAGATGGATGGTGGTGATGGTTGCATGACAGTGTGACTGTACGTAATCCCGATGAACTGTGTTCTTTAAAATGGTAAAGTTTATGTTATATACATTTTATCGCAACTTTTAAAAACAGTGTTCATCACAGTATGTGAGAAGAAAATGGGGCCGCCTTGACATTCCTCAAACAGGCCCAACTCACCCTACCTTAGGGCATCGCTGTGCCCTCTGCCTGGAATCCTTACCTCCCATGGCTCACTCCTGCCCCTTGCTCAGGTGTCTACTTAAGAGTCATCTCCACGGGGCCGGCCGAGTGGCGCGATGGTTAAGAGATAGCTTGGGACGCCAGAGGGCCCCGGTTCGGATCCCACATATGAGGGCCAGTGACACTGCCCTC